GCTTATCTTGAAGCCATGTTATGTGTATAAGCTGCTCTGTACCACTCCACCCTGTTTCTGGAGCAGGACACTCCCTACGTAGGTGTGAAGGCACCTTTGTCTCTATGTCAAGAGAATGAGAGAGAGTTCACATACCCTGTGTGCAAACAGAGAATGAGGACAACCAGTGAGGACACGGGCAGAGTCATCACACATCTATGAAGGTCAGGCTTAACACTACCCTGAGAGTCCCCGTGTGTGCAAGTCCCTAACTCTGCTGTGTCTGATGAGGTTCCCAACCACAGACACAGCTTCTCGGCTCCTGTAGCCAGACTGCCCTGGCCACTGAGGCCAGCCCAGCACCTTCCAGTTGGTCTCTAACCCAGCAGGGCCCTTGAGTCAGGAATGAAGGGGAGACACTGAGGTGGTTGGTGGGAAGACAGATGCTCAAAAAGAAGCTACGAAGCTGTGGGCACCAGATCCCAGTAACAACCATAAAAAAGCACCCACTCGACAGCACGTCTACACTCATCACGTCCTGCCAGTCTTCATACCACAATGCTATACTCTTCACAGGTGCATGACCCAGCGTGACAAGGAAGAAGTCAGCCAAAGCTGCAGAGCAGGGACAGCCAAGGGCTAGGGTTCCAAAGGCTGAGCTCCCCATGGCTGGTGCCTCAGCACCTGCCTGACCCAGAAACCAAGCCTGCCTGGAGGGATGCTGTGACTCCCCAAGTGCCATCTTCAGAGCTCTAGTCTATATATGTAACTGTGCTCTGTTAGTCAGCTTTCTGTTACTGTAACAAGATACCTGAGATAATCAACTTAAGAGAAGGAAAGGTCTGTTTGGGCTTACAGTTTCAGAAGTGTTAGTGTATTGTTGTTTGGTCTGTTGCTTTGGGCCTGTGGCAGCTCCATTTGTCATGACAAAGGAGGCTGCTCACTTCAGGCCAGTTAGAAATCAAAAAGAAGGGACTCAAGTCCTAATATCACACAAAGGTGAGTTCCCACTGACCCAATTCCCTTCTTCTAGGGCCACCTCCTAGACTTTCTGCTGCTAGGCAGTGCAGGCTGGTGACCCAGCCTCAGCACATGACTTTTGGGGTACAGTTAGCCATATCACACCAGGCACACTCCACAGCTCTTTCCAGACTGGTGGATCCTGGTAGCAACATGGGCAAAACCAAATGACTGCTCCTCTCTGGGTGTTCATCCCTATACACTTCCTGCCTCAGCAGGAAACCATCACCTACTTAAGTACCAAACAGGAAATGCATGTCAGCCTTGACCCTGCCCTTGCATCATGTGTCGTCATACACCAAGTCTGGTGATCTCCACTCTGAGGCCCCCTTCAACCAGTTCCCTGCCCTCTCATGGCCTCTGTCTTGATTAACCATCCACATCACAGTCCCCTTCCATGTGACTGTTACCATCCATATAACTATCCTCATCCATAGCACCATCCCCATCCACATCACCATCCCCATCACAATCCTCCTCCATGTTACTGACACCCTCCACATCCCCATCCCCATCCTCATCACTGTCCCCATCCATGTCACCATCCCCCTCCATGTTACCCCTCCCTCCATGTCACCATCCTCCTCCATGTTACCCCTCCCTCCATGTCACCATCTTCCTCCATGTTACCCCTCCCTCCATGTCACCATCCCCCTCCACGTTACCCCTCCCTCCATGTCACCATCCCCCTCCATGTTACTCCTCCCTCCATGTCACCATCCCCCTCCATGTTACCCCTCCCTCCATGTCACCATCCTCCTCCATGTTACCCCTCCCTCCATGTCACCATCTTCCTCCATGTTACCCCTCCCTCCATGTCACCATCCCCCTCCACGTTTCCATGTTATTGACCCCTCCCCATCCCCATCCCCATCCTCGTCACTGTCTCCATCCACGTCACCATCCCCCTCCATGTTACCCCTCCCTCCATGTCACCATCCCCTCCATGTTGACTCCCTCCACATCCCCATCCCCATCACTGTTCCCATCCCCATCATCATCCCCTCCATGTCATCATCCCCATCATCTCCCCATGTCATCATCCCTCCTACACACATCACTGTCCTCATTCCCATCACAGTCCTGCTCCAGGTGGCCATACCATCCTCCTTTTCCTCTTTATCGTCTACACATTGCCTCCAGCAGCTTTTGTGACCACTCACATCCTATATACCTCAAGCTGATGCCAAGAAGTGTTTACTTAAATGTAATTAAAAACACAAGTTAGACCATTAGACACTGCCTTTAAACCTTTCAGTGGAAAGGAACTGTCCCTTGAATTGTTTCTTCTTAGGACCACTGACTCACTAAGTCAGGACCCTGCTCTTGGCTTGACCAGAGCAGGTCGCTGAGGAACTGGGCAAAGGAGGCAAGCCAGAAAGCCGTCAGTGAGCACTAACGATGGTGGCCAGTTGGCCCTGCTACCTCACAATGTGTCAGGAGTCTCTCCTTGAAACCTGAGGTACAATGTTAAGACTAACACGTTGCCCACAAAACTTCTGTATTCCCTTACTTCCCAGCTGCACTTACTCGGCATTAATGCCATGTGGTGTTCAATGGGGACTAATGTGGTATTAGCTGTATGTCCATTCATTAAGTTTCATGTCATTTTGTGAACCATTAACAAAATTCATTCCCTGTAAGTTCAGTTGCTAGGGATAGCCTCCTTTCACGAATGAATGACACAGGGTAACATTGTATCTCACTCAGCCCCTCAGTGGCCTTTAAGGCAGCATAATTATAATCCCAGGAATTTCCCCAGAAGGCTCTGTTAAGTTCACAGCCATGCCACCAACAATCTTCACAGTTGCACCTGCCCCAGCAGGAACATTAGGCAGCTTGTGTTAACACTGATAAAGTGCTATGGGGCCTTCTAAAACTAAGGGCCACAGGGAACGCCTTCTGTGGCAACATTCTTCATCCCTGTCCACACTTGGAATTGGTCCTCAGTGAGATGTTCCTGCTCTCCAAGGAGCCAGGACTCTGCAGTTGAGACTGGGCACCCATTGTACCTGGGATCAAACTTGTTTTTTCTCATCCCTTCCCCATATGGCATCAAGTCCATTCATAGTAACATGGTGCTGTTCAAAACATGAAAAGAGCTCCTATCTGTATGTTACGCATTTATGTGCATCTTTGCACATACATGTTCAACAGGCCAGAATCTCACGCCTTGCACAGCTACAACTGTTCCACAGACGCACTGGCTGTCAGCAGAGCCGGCATCCTGAGAACTGTGGGTAGGAGACTCGGGTCTCTACTGTCTATGTAATTCTCCCTCAGTACAAAGTTAGTGTACAGCATGGGCACATTTGAAATGACCAGAAGTGATCATAGATAATCAACTTCATTTACCTAAAAAGCTATAAGGTAAGTGGAAAGCTGTTGTCTAAGTGTATCATCAAGACTTTTAAAGGAGACTGACATCCCATTTGGTCCATTCACAGCTCCCTCAAATTCTAGCCAATCCACTGCCACGTGAGTTACTTCCAGTCGGGAAAACCTGCCCACAATGCAGGAGCATCTCTGTATGAGACCCTGATGACAGGCTGGACCTCAAGTGTATTCAATGGTCACTCTTGTGGAGCGGATACCAGTGAGGGAAGGAAGTGTGAGCGAAGCCATCGAGCTGAATTCCCTTTGTCCAAGGTGCCACCTACAGAACGGCGTCTCCTGGTTCTCCTTTTCAGAACCCCACTGCTGGGCAGCAGTAACAACACAGTACTTGGTCGCACTGGGTCCCAGCTCCAAACATCTTACAATATTGCAATGAAACAAGGCTGGTCTGACTCTACAAAGCTTGGAACTCCAAACCTCTGGATTTGAAGCAAAACTTTGCAAAGAACCCCTTTTTAATTAAAACAAAATCTGTTAATCCTCAAATAAACTCAGAGCACTGCACCCTTTCCACCCCCAGGAATGTTTTCCAGTCTATGCATGGGTAGTGCTGGACAGGTTGGTATGGTGTAAAACAAAAAAACCCAAAAAACCATTAGTCCTCAAATCACCTTCCACAGACAAGAGCCTCTAAAGTTGCAGAAGTCGCGATGAGTAAGCCAAACAGCAGCAGTGGAAACACAGGGTGCGCCCCTGGTAGGCGGAGCACTTTCTATGCTGTGCCATCACAGGTAGAGACGTGGAGGCAGCTGGGTGCCAAGGGAGGGGGAGGGGAGGGGAGCAGAGCACATCAGCCTCTACAGCTGAAACAGCCACATCTAAAGTCACTTATGACTCACTGAGAAAAGCAGTTCATAGATCCGTGATGCACAGGGGTTGCTAAAAGGGAGCTTGTTTTGCCATGTCTGACGCCAGGCTTCACCCTGGCCTCCTAGAAAGCCTTAACGTTCAAACAGCCATCAGAGTCGCCCCAAATACCAGAGCTATTATTTTGTCTGTGTCTTTTCTTATTAGCAAGATTCTAGCACACTCTCCAGGAGGACGCAATCAGGTGGAAGGGGGAAGGTGCACTACCTTCCCCCCACCCTTTTTTTATCAAAGCCACTAGCTGATCACCTTTGTGTTTTTCAGTGACATCACTGATAGCATCCCCATGACCACTCCTGGCTCCTCAGGGCCGAAGTCTCAGAGACGCCCAGAACCTGTATAGAAGTCACTATGTTCTCTTACACCTCCAGACCCTGGGCTGGGTCCCTGGGGTCAGCAGCCAAGCTGCCTGTGTTCCCAGAGGGCACAGCACAGGACGCTTCAAGTCCCTTGCACTGTGCTGTTCACAGTGAGTGCTGCAGACATCAACCCTTACTGTGCAAAGCTGCCTTTTCTTCACAGCCCAGACACAGCACCAAGGTCCCTACCTCTTGGCAGAAGCCAGGTCCACACATCAGAGAACCCAAACAGAAAGCCCAGCAGGGCTGACTCTGTTCACATTGCCTTGGACTTGGCCAGCAGAGATGCACAGTTTTGGACCACTGTGCACAGTGTCTCTTACCTTGACCGTGTATGTACATGTATGTTCACACATATGCAAGGAGACAGACTTACCTATACCCTTTGTGATGTTTGCAGCTGTCATGTTTTGGACGTTGGCACTCACTTTGAAGGTCACTGCTGGTCCTAGAACTCTGGAAGAGACCAAGTAAGAACAAAGTCATTCCTGTGTTACCACAGGAAGCCGCCTGTCTGTGACTTCCCAAACACTGACAGGTGAAGCACACCCAGGCCACACTTTGCTGCTCCTGGTATATTTTTCTTGGATTCTGGTGCTCTGTTTTTATTTCTAGTAATTCTATTGCTGGCTTTGCTTTTCTTAAATACACACATTGCAAAGCAACTCCATATCCAACAATATCAGCCAGATGTTTCTGCAAGCGCAAACAAGAAATTGTTATGGAAACAGACATTGGTCTTGGGCTCCCACAGAGCATTGAGAGTCAAGAGCAGAGGGGGAAAAGTGTTTCCAAATTTCTTTCTGCAGGAGCCACTTGAACCCCCCCAAGTCATTAAGAAGTACTTAACACAAAAGCTACTGTCTGGGGGTTGCCACGAAGGGATTGTCAAAATATCGTGTAAATGCCAAGTTAAACGCGATTTTGAAGAAATACATCACTTTTAACAGTTAAGATCCCACAGATCCCTTGTGCTGTAGGAGTCAGATACGGTGCACAGTGAGTCCAGAGGAGTCAGGGATACAGAGTCTGCTCTTAAAGGCAGGTGTGCTCCATCTCCACAGTGACCCTAAGCTTCACCATGGAACAGACACAATACGTACCTTTTAAGACACAAATTCCTAACAGACCATCGATGGGAGACTGAAACTACCATATACCCACAAGCCAAACTACCACATAGCCACAACCTCCACCTTTTCTCCCTCCCTCTCAGCACCATCAACCCTCATCCAGGGTTGCATGAACTAAGATGCTGAGTCTAGGCCTTCCTTTAAACCTCACACATGATTATGGCCTCTGATATCATCCCTGCTCACAACACCTAGGTTTCAACTTCTGGTCCTCCTCCTGGGATTTTAGACTCACTCTCTTTCAGTCAGCTCAGGGCTCAAGTGTGCTGAAGGTAAAAGCTGTCTTACTATGACAAGGTAGATAACCACCATTCTAGCAAGCCAGCATCACTTTAGGCTCAACACGATCTATTTTGATCAGGTGGCTAGTCTGAGGTGCAGACCAGGTGCTACACTATGGGCCCTTTCACCAGAAACATCCAGAGCATCTCCAATTTCTGCCCAAAGCCCTGGAAATGCCAGCATAGCATTTCCACACTGTGATCCTACTTCAAGCCTGCCCCACTGCATAGGAGCTGAGAAGTTCCCATGTCCAGCTCTCCAGAGTGGTACTGATGAGGGAGAGTAGCTGCCACCAACTTGCTCAGGCCTAGATCCCAACTGTCTCCAGCTGTGCCTTTCTGCTGATACTCAGTGTGTGCTCTTGGATGGAATCTGGGCAGCATCCCTTCTGGCCCCCAAAGCTGGAGCTTTCATTCAAGTCAGCACTCCTGCAGGGACACATTCTCTCCTCACTGTGTCATGTTCCACCACCTCCCAAAGACCAGTTCTGATCACATCTACCCAATATCCACAACAGTGAGTTCTTCCTCCCTCCGACACCTTGCAGCAAGGACCACAAGCATCTGATATCTAGTGCTTTAATGGAGCAAGAATGATTACAGAGGATTCCTAGCTTCCTGGTAGGTGATCAGATCTGTGAGGCACTGGGGTGTGCCTGATGGGCTTCACTCACATGATGGATGACTGACTCACCTGTGATGGAGTCCAGACACTTGAGCCCAGCAGTTTTGTGATGTTGAGAAAGTCCTTATGTGAATGAGAAACGTTCACCCACCGAAACACTGGCAGAACTCAGCACAGGACTCTGGGGTATTAGATCATTTCTACCAAATATTGAATCTAAACACATCTATGCTGCTCCTTGGCAGGCGGGGTTAGGATGTTCTGCACCAAAGTCTTTCCCTCAGGAGCTATGAATGTTCTCTGAAGACCATGAATACTTTCCTGGTTTTTTTTTTTTTTTTTTTGAGTTCAAAGACATGGCCGCCACATAATGGGTGATACATTTATCTGCTGGTCTGACAGAGAAATAGGGGCAGGCAGCATGGAAGCCTCTATCCTACAGCCCAGATTCTCTTTGCTGTAAAGGAGCACAGGGCTGTGAGGCTGCAGGGAACGACTGGCATCACCCATACCCACTCACACTGTCTCTGACACACAGAGACCATCAAGGAACAGGTAATGATCACACCCACTAGAAGAGCCAAAGAAGGCCACAAAGGGGAACCTGAGTGTTCACGCTGCTTGAGACCCACTGTCACTGACAATAGTGTGGTTCTCCCAGTGTGTCACTGTGTGGAGGTACTGCTGAACTTTTCAAGCTTACTTCAGTTTACCCAGCTGCAAAACAGTGCAAAACCTGCTTGGACTTGCTCTGGTCTAGGAGGCTCTCCAGTTTTCCAACCACAGATTGCACACAGTCCTGCCTGTGCCCCACCATCACCCTGCTGACCCCATCACAGAGCTTTTCCAGGCCTGCCAACCCCAGTCCCCAGGACAGAGGAAACTAGAAGTTCCTCACGTGGATCCTCTGGAACCAGGGTCTCCAAAAACACTCACCAACCACAGAGGATTTGGGGATGGTGAGGCTCTGGCTCCAGCCAGATATGCCTAGTTCCAGATGAGAGAGCATGGAAGGAGGTCTGTAGGAACACAAGAGGACCCAGTTGACCACAGTGACAGCTCCAGGCACAGGCACCACACCAGCAATCACTGTGAGACACTGGGGTCCTCACAGCAGGGGCCAGATGGGACTTGCCCTGCTTTCTCCCAACAAGGGAATTGGATGCCTGTCTACAATGTTGCAATAGGTGCAGGAGCTTCTGATGACAGTTGCAAACAGCTGAGGGAGACAGAGTCTCCGCAGAGCCCAAGATAACCAGGTAGACCTAGGCTTCTCCCCCAAACCACAGCTCCTCCACCTAGACCTGGGCAGGAGGGAAACAGCACCCTGCCTAGGAGGAGACTCCAGGCCATGCTTGTATTTAATACAGCACCAAGAAAAGAGATATGAGCACCAAGACCTGAGTCTCCACTGAATGGTTTGTGGGTGCTCTAGGGCCTCTTGCCTCACTTTCACTGGGTTTTTCCAGTCAGTGAAGGCAAACGGGCTGCAGGAGAATTCCAGTGCAAACACTTGTCTCCTTTAATGATCTGAGGATACAGTACTGGGAATACCCTGGTGAATTAGCTCAGCCGGCTGTCAGTTCTGCTGTTGTGGTTTTATTTTATTCCCCCAACGCTTCCTCCCTCCACAGAGGAACCATCACTCTCCTCTGCTCTTGAGCATCTGCAATGTGTTACAAGCTGCCAGCTCTTCTGATGCCCTGCTCACGAGATCTGAGGTGATTTCTGGACTGTGTGGATGGGAATCCAGGCTGGTGACTGTGGGAAAGCTCCACTCACTCTGTCCTAGCAGCAAACACACTCCACACCCTCCACTGCCAAGATGACCCTCAGGGTACACAACAGGGAAGGTTCACACAGAAAGAGAGGTTCTGGTCAATGGGGTAGGCAGGAGGCTAGCCAGCCTTAAGTGTGCAGTTCCAGCTGGCTCTGGTGCTGATCTCAACAGTGAGTGACTCTCTGGCAGGAGGCTCCACTTTCAAGGTTGCCTGCCCTAAATCCCAGCACAGCTACCACTCCCAGAGCTGTTGGGAGATGGCACCAGAGTGCACAGGGGTCAACTCCTCAGAATTCCAGTCAATGACCTTTAGCAGCCTGGACCACTTCCTGAGTTCCCCTCTGCAGAACATTCCCAGATACACTAATAAAGGCCTGGCACCCATCAGCATGATGCTTACCTGTCTGAGAATGGCTCCCAGAGCCTCCAGGGATCCTTCCTATCTGGGAGACCAGCCTCAGAGGCAGCCTCCTCTCCTACTGAATGAGATGCACAGTCTGCATCCCACTCATCTCTCAAATGCACTCTTGGCTCTGTCTGTCCAACAGGGCTTTTTATGAGGGAAGGCATGTACTGGCCTCATTTGCTGGGGACCCTGGAGGCAGGTGGCATCCATGGTCTCCAAATTCTGTCTACTCACCTCTGGGGTGGCCCCCCTCCTTACCATGTTTGAGGATAGCCATGTAATGGGGTTATTTGAGGCTTAGACTCAAAGCTGCATCTGCCCTGAAATCCTAGACCTCAACTTTTATGGGTTTCTGTATCACAAGGGTCTCCAGGACTAGATACTAGGGTTCCCTAATATCCCCAGTGCACCTGTGCAGAGCATTCAGTAGTGAGAGCTAATACCACTGAAAATGAGCCTTGAGATGCCCGAGAGGTCCCTAGGTGAAGGCTAGGGCTTGGTCAGACAGAGGTGTCACTTGAATTCTTGACATTGACATTGGGGGTTTAGGAGCAGGGTCCCCCAGATATCACCTGTGTATAATTCTTACTTATCAAAAGATGCACTGGCCTTGCACGGGGGAGAGAGGGAAGCAGCCAAGGACAAGGGCTGCCACATCACATACCCTGTACCCAGTCCCATGATGTCCCACCACCTGTTGGTTAGTTACAGACAATGGTTGCCAGGTCACCAGGGGAAACTTCCTCCCCAGGACTCACAGTGGACCCAGGGATCTCCTCATCCCTTTGCCAACTATGTGTGGAAGTACCAACTCACTCAGAATGGGGCCTTCCTAGTAGAGTGGGTGTGACTGGGTCTCATGGGAATCTTGGAGCTCTTCAAATGACTGGGGGATGAGGGTCTTCAGGAGAGAAAAAGCCAGACACAAAAATGCCCAGTGAGCAACGGTCATAGGCTTAGGCTCTGTGGAACCTGGGAAGGAGTCACTCTGGTGACAGTGACAGAACACCTTGAGCCTGCCCTTCTCATGGACATGCACCAAAGCCTCCTGGGTGAGCCATCCGCCCAAAGTCACCCATCCTGGCCCACACTGCCAGAGCGCTGATCAGAAGCAAGCCAAGCTGTTCAGCCTTCTCTAGTGAGTAACCAGGCACGGAGGTTTTGCACTCACATAGCACAGACTCCTGCTGCACCCCCTGCACAATAAGCTCAGGCGCTCCACTTTTGGGAC